AGCAAGTGGTAGAACCAGTATCGGAACTCTAGCAGTGTGTCTCCAGAGCCCACCCTCTTGACCACTGGGCTAAATTACCTCTCTCTTCCTATTTTGTCCCAGATTCCCAAACTCAGATGCTCAAAGCCATTCAAACTTATAGAGAGACAAAGGATACATAAGATACATAGACAGGTACATGAACAAGAACAAGATACAAAGAATCTTAGAATCAGAAGGGTGCAGAACTCTTCCCAAGGGACACAACAATCTCCTCTACAGTGTCCCTAACAAGGGGTCATTCTACCTCAACTCTTAACATCTCCAGCGGTGAGAAGTTCCCCGCATCATAAAGCAACCCATTCCACCTTTAAGTAGCTCATATTTTAGAAAGTCATTTCTTGTTCAGCTAAAGTCTACCTGCATGATACTAGCTGGTGTTGACTGTCCATACAGAATGTCTAATCGTCTTCTCCCTGACAATCCTTCAATTATGAACACAGTTATTTTTTTTTTTTTAAAAACAATGTTTATTATCCACAGGTTCTGGAAGGTACACGGCACACATGGGGGCCACACAGCAACACAGTTATTTTTTTAAGTTTATTTATTTATTTAAGTAATCTCTATACCCAACATGGGGCTCAAACTCATGACCCCGAGATCAAGAGTTGCATGCTCCTCCCACTGAGCCAGCCAGGCGCCCCACAAACAGTTATGATGTCCCTCCTTGACCCAAAGCTCTTTCCCAGTATCTCTCATTCGAAGATTCAGCCATTTCTCATACGACACAATTTACAGGCACTTCACTTTCCTAATGCCTTCTTTGAATATATTATAGTTTGTTGATGTCCTCTAGAACATGGCATCCAGAAGTGAGCATGAATCTCTCTGGGCCGGCCAGCAGAGGCCCTCCTCTGTTCACCACCATCCTCTTGGCCCAATTCAATACTCATCAGCAGTTTTTGGCATTGCCAACTCCCAGGCAACGAAGACCCCCAGTTCTTTATCATACACAGCACCGTTAAGCTCTAATACCTCATCCTTAATTGTCCTGCAATAAATATAACATTAGAACCCTTTATTGGGGTCCGTCCCATTTTATAAGCCTGGGTATATTCTGGACTTTAGCCCTTCTGACTCAGTTCCTAGAGGTCTGTGATACTCTTTGGTCTTTGTCCTTGGAAGTCCAGCCCTCCTGTCCGTCTATATATATACTTTTAAAATCTGAGCTCTTCAGAGGATAATCTGTAAGGACACTTACATTTATCTTTCCCTTTGTAATTTCTCATTGGAAGTTTTCTAAATTGTACAGGCTTGAATTTTATCTTTGGAACTTGTTGCCCTCTTGAGCTATCTTTCTCTTTTGGTATTTGGCCAGGGCATCTATTTATCTTTTCTCTGATCTTTTTGAAGTCTACCCGCCCCCCCCACACACACACGTTTGTTAACCTCTCTGACCATGCCCAGAATTCTTCTGCTTAACAGATCCAGATGGCATGGTCAGTGTCCCCAAGATTCTTGTCACTTTCACTTTGCTAACCAGATCTTTCTTATTTATTGTCAGGATTAAGCCCAGTTTAGCAATTTACCCCACTGATTCTTTAGTCTTCTGAGAACTGTAATTATCAACAAGAGAGTTAAGAATGTATCCAATGTGTTGCTGTCAGAATAATGAGACTTACAGCAGTTATTCGGATGGTTTATGCCTCTGATCACCATCTCTGGCCTATGTAATGGTTTTATGAAGTATTATGCACAGCTGTTATCTAACCAGGCAGTTCCCTGTATACTTCCACAACCACAGTCACTTACATTTCTCCCTTTCATTTTCACTGAATGCTTCCCCCCCGCTCCAGCCAATGAATTACTGGTTATACCTTCTTGATATATTCTTACTACCCTGCTGTCCTTCTACATGGTATCTCTCTGAACCAGGTTTCCCCTTCCTTTTCCAGACAGAAGTCCTACTCTACCCAGTTTGCACCATACCTATAAAATTGCATTTTCTTGCTTATATTAACATTTTACATTCACTTTATTACCTATATTCTGGGTGTGTTGGTACATAGATAACTGAGGCCCAAGTATCATTTCTGACCTTCCTCCTAGTTTTTTCTTGAGAATTACCAGGCACTACCTTAGCTTGAGTTTCTCTTTCTTAATTATACACGTATTCTAAAAAGCTTCCAGAAACACAGTAGTTACTAACACAGAGCCCCCACTAATGCTTCACTGAAGGAATTTGTTTTTAATGAATTGACCAGCCATATATCACCACCAACATCATCATTATCATCATTAATATTAGTCTCTATTTTTCCTGGGCTCTTGTTCCTGGTTTCTTCTTCTTTCTTTTTTTTCTTTTTAATTTTTTTAACTTTGAGACACAAAAATTTTGTGCACACACACACAAAGTATAAAGAATTCCTAGGGGCACCTGGGTGGCTCAGTCGGTTAAGCATCTACCTTTGGCTCAGGTCATGATCCCAGGGTCCTGGGGATCAAGCCCCACATCGGGCTCCCTGCTCGGCGGGGAGTCTGCTTCGCCCTCTGGCTCTGCCTCTGCTGCTCGCTCTCTGTCAAATAAATAAAATCTTTTTTAAAAAAGAATTTCTATATTTCCTTCACTCAACTTCTCCAAATGTTACCATCTTACATAACCATTGTAACTAAGACCAGTATTGGTGGACTACTAGTAACGAACCTACAGATACTCAAATTTCACCAATAGTACCATCAATGTCCTTTTTCTGGTCCAGGGTCCAGTCCAGGATCACACGTTACATTAAGCTGTCATTCTCCTTAGTCTCCTTTAATTTGTGACAGTTCCTCAGTCTTTCTTTGTCTTTTATGACCTTGACACTTTACATCTATCTGACTCCTTGAAGCATACCTGGTCATAAGCAACTAAGAAAGCTTCCGCCCACAGTGGATTTAGCAAAATACCAAATCATGGCATGGAGTTGCTTTAAATGACCCATCTTGTACTTCATCTTCAATAAAACTACACTTAGGCACCCAAAGACTGAGAAGGGACAAATTCTATGTCATTATTTGATCATCTTTTTGCAGTGAGATAGAAATCTGACAGAACAGTACATGTGAAAGTGCTTGAAACAGCAAAAGAGTTTTGAAATAGAAAGCAGTAGGGACATCATGCTCAAACGGAGTAGCAGAGGTGGCCAGTGAAAGACAGAAAAAGGGTACCTAAGTGAAGGCAACGGGTATCATAGAGTAATTAACATTTCAATAAAAATGCATTAACCAGAACATCAAGAGTTCAAACTGGAAAGGTTTTGAATTCTACTTCGAAATGCATTCTAAAAACCACCTCCGTCTCAATAAAACGCTCCACAGATTTTTGGTTTCGCTGTTAATTCTCTCACCAGTAAAGGTACGAGGAGGGACTATCACTTCCAGAGAACGTACTTCATCACTGAAACTCTACAGCAAGGTCATTTTTGTATCCGGCGGCATCACCCTTATAATCGACTCATGAGAAAGGGAGCGGCTTCTCATGAACAGAAGTCAAGGGTCTCAGCCAGGATCAACGAAGCTGGGTTCCAGACTGCTCTTCTTTGAACACTCTCCGTGTGTGCTCATCACTTCAGATTGCCGGGGTTCCCGGGAAGACTTACAAATTGCAAAGCGTAATTAAATGAAGGACCTCACGACCCTGGAGGAACCCTAGGATCGGGCCCTTCAATGGGCAGATCTGGAGAAGGTGGGAGAGGGCAGGAAAGGAAAGTGAGGGATACGCACCGTGTGTCTTCAGTGTGCTGGGCAACCTCCGGATCGGCAGCAGTTGCAGTTTGCAACAGGATCATTTTTATAAACATTGTTGTGATTACTTAGACATATGATATGTGATTACACTCTCCGCTACTGTTCCGAACCCAAGCGAGTGCACTCAAGCTAGCAAGTAGGTTTTTAAGGACTCGTCTGGCAAATGCTTACCCACTGCAGGGATTAAGGGGCTCAGTAAGCACTTGTCCATTGACACAATGGCTGTCAATCAAATTCTATTGATTCCTCTAAAAGCTTCTGGAGTTCAGGAATCTACTCAATCCAAGAGCACTTTACTTGGCGTCCAAGGAGCTAAATGCTAGCCTAGTTCACACAGCCTCTTAACCTTCCTGGTACGACCTCTTTATTCGGCTTCTGGCTAAAATAATGCCCCCACCCCCAGCCGAGTCCTTTGGCCTCTCCTCTGCCAATTCCCGGCAAGATCTTTGTTAAATCGTTTTTGCAAACCAGAGTCTGGGGCACGCTGACCGTGTCCCAACTCTGCTGTTCCCCCAATTTCCTCTGGCTTCCCCGGGGAAGCTCCAGAGCAGTGCCAGGTCTAGGGTGAAAAGAATGAGGCTCCTGCCCTAGCACAAAATTTAAGGGGCACCAAACAACTCAGTAATACCAAATCAAATGATTTTTAGTGCACCATTTTAAAAAAAGTCAAGAGTAAGGCCAAAATCCATGATGAACAAATTGTCAACATTTTAAAATAAAGACAAGATCGCAGCCTGCACTCGCAGGACCCTGCCTCATCTGCCTCACCCTAATCCCAACCGTGGCGCTCCAATTCAACTTTACTTACGGAAACGGGCGACCAGCCGTCGTTTGCCCACATTATTTTTTTTAAATATTATTTATCCTAGCTTCCGAGATTTGGGGGGGGCGTCCCCCTAAATACTGCTGAGGTTTCTATCCAGGCACACCGTGACCTCACCCGCCCTCCCCACCCGCAGGCCTCTCCCGGGGTCCAGCGGCCGGGGCCCTGGGTATTCCCTGGGGCCGCCGGGTCCTCGGGGCCGGGTCAGGTGCCGCGCGCCAGCGGCGCGGAGCGGAGGGCGGCCCCGGGCCCGACTCCGCGGCTCCCGAGCCACTCAGCCGCCGCGCGGGCCCGCGCGCGGGGGCTCGGGGCCCGCCCACGCCCGCCCAGGCCCGCCCCCGACGCCGGCCGCCCAAGCGCCGGCTCGCCCTATATAAACCGGCCATTTGTTTCGCTCCGCCCCAGAGTCCCGGAGTCCCGGCCGGTTCCTCCCGTAGTCCCGCAGTCGCCCGTCTCATTCCTTTCAACATGACAGATGCCGCTGTGTCCTTCGCCAAGGACTTCCTGGCGGGTGGAGTGGCCGCGGCCATCTCCAAGACGGCGGTAGCGCCCATCGAGCGGGTCAAGCTGCTGCTGCAGGTACCCCCGGGGATTGGGGAGTCGGGACCAGGAAGTGGGGGAGGGGGCGCGCAGAAAGCCTGGCCCCGGGGGGCTGGAGGGGGTACCACTCCCCAGCCCTGTCGGGGGAAGCGGCCCCCGTGCGGGCAGGGGTGGCCGCGGAGGCGGACCAAAAGGCCAGCTCGAGGGAGGTGCTTTGGTGACCTGAAGTTCTAGAGCTAGGAAGGGGTCGGGGCGGAGGGAAGCGAGGCGGGCCAGGGCCTTGGCATCCCCAGGGAGGGGGGTGGGCAGCGAGCTCGGAGGGGCAGCCCGGCGGCGGCCGTCTCCCCGGGGCCTGGAGGTCAAGGGCGAAGCCTGGAAGCCGGCGCTGGAGGGAGGGACACCTGGCCGTGCCGAAGGCCTCAAGGTCGCGGCAAGGAGATCATCTCACAGCCTTGCGGAGGCCATGCGGCGGGTCGAGGGGCCGCGCAGCGGGCGGACGCTCCCTCACCTCGCCGGGCCGGAAGCCGGCGCCGGGAAGCGCTTGTGCCTGCTGCGTCCGCCCCCGCGCAGCCGCCGCCGCGTCCCTGCCGCGCTCCCCCGCTCCGGCTCTAGGGGGCGCGCCCGGACGGGCGGAGGGCTGCTGGCCCCACGGGTCACCGCTAGGAGACGAGCTGGGGCGGAGCGGGAGGGAAGCAGCTCCGGAGACCCGAGGCGTAGGCCACGGTCACCAAGGTGACCGCGCCCTGCGTGGGACAGGCCCAGATGCCTCTGAACCTGGGTCTGAGGTAATGACCTTTCTCCCAGGTCTAAAGGTCACGCGTGCAACCGAGGGTGCCCCCTCCCCACCCAAAGGGGTGGAGGCTTAATGCCTTCTGGGGGTGCAAGAGCACTTCTCCCACGGTGACGGCCTCAGAGGACCGGGAGGGTGCATCCTGTATGAACTAGAAGACTAGATGTGGGAAGTAGCTAACCTTAAAGCCCCGCCAGAGATTCAGAGGATAATATTCTCTCCCTTCCTCCCTTCTCCGTGGTTGTAACTCTCTCCCTCTTGGCCTCCTTCTTGTCTGTCAGGTGCAGCATGCCAGCAAGCAAATCACAGCAGATAAGCAATACAAGGGCATTATGGACTGTGTGGTTCGCATCCCCAAGGAGCAGGGAGTCCTGTCCTTCTGGCGCGGTAACCTGGCCAATGTCATCAGATACTTCCCCACCCAGGCTCTCAACTTCGCCTTCAAAGATAAATACAAGCAGATCTTCGCACCATTTTAAAAAAAGTCAAGAGTAAGGCCAAAATCCATGATGAACAAATTGTCAACATTTTAAAATAAAGACAAGATCGCAGCCTGCACTCG